AAATTGTAGACCTTGTTCATGCGTATCCGATGCCGTTTACCGCTTGTCGCTATCTTGCTTCGTTCTCGAGATCTCAGGGGGGGCCGAATCGGCCCCCCCGCCAGTTTCTTGTCCCGGCGGAGCCCGCCAGGAATAGGGTTAAGCACAGATAACAGTAGTACTACTGTACTACTGTTATCTGTGGGTTAAAGGTAGTGTGCCACCTTTGAAAGATTTCCCATTTTATTTTTCCTAGGATAAGAAGCTTCTGTTTTTACCTAATATCGCAAAAAAAATCAAAAATGGGCCTGGAATAGTGCCTTTTTCGCCTAAAAGTTTATCGGTTTTTCGATATGTATAACAACTGTAGTGGGCTGACCTGCAAACAGGCGTCGGCAACAATCGCGAATGCGGCGCACATGTGACAATAAGCAAAGGTCATTATGGAGTTACGACGTACGGGAATGAGTTATCAGCTGTCTAATCGTAGACAACACAATGTCGAGCCTTAAACTGCAAGCCTGTATTGGTATTGTTTCTTTTATTTGGCTGTCGAACATTATTTATGGTTTGAAATATGATTTTATGTAAAATAATTGATATGAAAAAGCCGTCTCTTAAGTTATGACCCCATTTCACCACACGCAAGTGGCAGAAATGACCATGATCAGCTGACGCATTTTTCTTGGCCGAAGTCAGAGCGCGCGGCCCGACGCACCACCACCGCACCACAAAGTATGAGCAGAAGCCGCGCCCAAAGCCAGGGCCCCGGTAACGTGAGGTAGCCGAGTCGGGGCAGCGTGCGCTGACCCAAGCCGGGGCCGCAGCTTTGGGCGCGGTCTACCGCATCCCCGCGGGCAGCCCCGGGCTATCACATGACACCGGGAGGACGCGCGGCCCCGGCTTGGGTCAGCGCACGCTGCCCCGACTCGGCTACCTCACGTTACCGGGGCCCTGGCTTTGGGCGCCGTCTACCGCACCACCTAACAGGCGTGTTCGAAACCGCAGGAGATGATGATGAACGGGTTTATCGAAACTTGATTGGATGAGCATATCGGTAATAGCGATTTCAGTGTGTGCATTCATAGTGGTGTGAAATGTGGTTGGGGTACGACCGACAACCCGTCGGGGTGAATTTCGCACTGGGGTACTCAAAATTTGAAGAATTTAAGACGTTTCCATGAGTTTTGAAGGTATGGATAAATTCTAAAAATCCGGTTCTCCTTATCTGGCCCATTAACTCCATACGGTCCAGGAAAGCTGGCACACTACCTTTAAGCTAAGAGCGAAGTCCACACTCCATATGAAGGCTAATGATTACGGAGCGAGCGAAGCGAGCGTAGTCTTTCCTTAGATTAACGGAAATTTCTGAGTATGAGCGGCCGGCCGGCCGGCCGGCCGTGGTCACGCTTTTGCGAGGCTTATATCTCAGCAACCACTTGACCGATTTACATGCGGTAATTTTTGTAGGGTAGCTTCATTCCTTCTACCAAGTATTGCACTATTCCCGATGCATGTGGGTGACCCCTTATGCGCGTGCCACGTGCAAAACCAAGAGGTGTCACTTTTGTAATTGTTGCAATATCTCGGTAACTACTGGGCCGATTGCGCTGAGAGTTAGCATGTAGGTAGGCACCCACTAGGCAATGCATATCCATGTGCCAGAGTTGGGGTGCTGCTGCACGTGCGCACGTGCAGGGGTCGTTTCCAGATCTCGAGAACGGCTGGACCGATTGCGCTCAAATTTGGTACACGGTTACGGAGCAGTTAGTAGGGTGCCGTGCACAAGTCAGTTGGGACCCATTTTGCACGTGCGCACGTGCAGGGTGCTGCTTCCAGATCTCGAGAACGGCTGGGCCGATTGTGCTCAAATTTGGCACATCGCTAGAGACCGGTTAGTAAGGTGCCGTGCACAAGTCAGTTGGAGGTACCCCCTCGCAATTTCGCACGTGCAAGGCCCACCCTCTCGCTCGCTCCGTTAGTCGCCACAAAAGGCGTTATACTGGTATTAAGTAGTATCCATATCTTGACGTCGATGATTCTCGTCAATCGTGGGAAAATGAACATCTTGTGCCAATTAACGTCCGTGGACTTCTCAGTTGTCAATGTGTCACATGCTAACCTCTCCCCAGGTCTCATAGTTATTGCCATAGTGCCGGTTGCGTGTTACAAATAAAAACGAAATCAATTGCCAATTGCGTGATACCAACAACATCTCTTTACTATGCCTAATTATAGCTAATGAAACACACTTTTTCCACATAGGTGTATCATTATGTGACGGTTGATAGTCACGTGTATTTGACATAGTCGCTAATAATTTTTGCTACATTTTTTAACGTTTCGCGACGGTACAGATACTTGATGCAAAAAAGAAACCACTTCGATATGAACAAAATATAGATTACATTGGATTAAACAGCTGCATATGAAGTAAACGAACAATGTATACCATGTTGGGAAAAGAGTGTAATAGCATTTGCGTAAATAAGGGCGCCATCTACATTCGGCATACAATAAAACGGACCATAAAATTGTATGCCTGTAATACAATGCACAACTGCAATCGGGCAACAGAAAAATCATGCATATGTTCAGATACATGCAATCATACATGCTAGAGACCACAGGACCAATACTTTACCATTACAGGGTGTCTCAAAAGTTCGTTCACAGGTACCAGCCATGCTTTTTTGTCAATAATTCTGAATCAACAGGAAATTAACAGTCGAAATTTTGCATGGGAATTGGTGACAACCTTCCTCAAGCAGCGATATTGTTTTCAAGTGCATTCGACCCTTCATGAGCTCACAAAAAGGGTTCACCTCAGACCATGGGTCAGGCACGAAAATGTAGGTTGCAAAGTCGGGTATGTTGTGAAACTCTCTGTTTCAGGAGTAATGGGAATGGTTAAGTCGGAAATGACACATGGCTAAGTGTCGGCGAGGATGAGTGCAACATGATGATCATCTCATAAAAACGGTGGCTAAAATTTTTGAAGGACGAAACCATGCGAGACTAACGGCGTTTTGAACGACCCTCGCACGACAGCAGACTCGTGTTTCGGAAAGCAGCTGAAAATGCGGTCATAACTATTGAAAACTGGCAAGAAGGTCACAGACAGAGGTTACCCATTTTCAAAAAGTGCAGGTCATCGTAAAATAAAGACAAATTATAATTTAAAATTGTTTATAATATCTATAACGCTAATTTTTGGGGACAATAACACAAAAATCGTCAATGCCAAGGACACCTGACCCTCCAGAAGTGTCAGTTATTGTAAAATTTTATCTAACGAAGTTTCAAGAGGCAGATCTGCAGCGAATAATTTTCTTTTAAACACAAAATCCCGATAAAACCACACGATGGACAGGTTTGGGCCGTTTACAAAGCAGAACATCTCCCGAGGAAAACACTCCGCAACCGAGCGAAGGTCTTGGCATGGGGAATGACGAGCGCTTGGAATTTGCAAAATTTGCACAATGTGTCTGAGAAACAGACGTCCGACACATTCTGCTACCATATGATGCGAAAAATTTACTCCTGGTACTTCCCGTTTGTTCAGGACTGGGGTCGTTTTGAAAAGGAAAATGGCGCTTGGGATGTCGGCGCCAGTCATTCATGAAGGAGTTAGCGCCAGAGAATGCCTACAAAATACTCAAGAATGGTGTCGATGCAAGCTGTCGGCTTTCAGGGAAAATCAGATGTTGCCGGGGAGCTAGTCAAAACTAAATCCGACGCAGAAACTGCAGGGGATTCCCCTGCAGGAGCTTGAAAGCTGGTAACCTTTTATCAGCCTCCAGCAGCTGACGGAGCAACAAAAATCGGTATGGGCAAATATTTTTGGAGATACAGCAAAGGGGTTGGTTTCCAACCTTCTTAATCAGTTGTCAAAGCATGCATATTTGTCTAGTGTAAACACAGACACCAAAACCTTATACTTTTGGCCGGTTCTTATATGCTTTATTGGCATGGGAAATGTGTGAACGAACTTTTGAGACACCCTGTATACTAGTATGCTAGAAGACTCATTCGTCATAGAAAAAGCTTTTGTCACAAGAGTATCGACGAATGCAAGATGATGAACGTCAGTTACTTACAGTAAACTCAATCACCAAGACACTCAGGCCTCATCGGCTCACCATCTGGACTTGACCTGACGTGGGACACTTTAACTTCCTATTATTCGCCGAATGACACTGCACGTAGCATGTCAATGTCATGCAAGTAATGCTAGCGACACTGGACAACACACCAATAACACTGCACGCTATACCTGAATGTATGACGGGTGTGACACCATGAGATGTGACACACCTAACGATCAGCCACCTCGCAAGGTCCGAACGACTCACACACTCATAAATCTCTTCTGAAGAGAGTGAACCTCCCTGCAAGTGTTTTTCACTTTTATGACCATTCACCAGCATATTTTCTTAAAGTTAGCACTGCACCGATAACAGAACGACGGTTACTATGGACGTCAAACCCCTTGAGACCCCACTTTTTTGCGATAACTTTTAAATGCGTCAACTCTCGTTGACAATATTCTGGCAATGTGTGTTTCAGAACCTGCCGAAACTTTTATTACTAAGGTATTTTGACGCCAAACGATTATGAAAGGTACTTCTCATTCACTCGTTATGTTAAATTTCACGGAACGAATCTGCTGTTTGGGTAGAGGCTACGCGCTCATGGGGCGGAGCCACGTAATGACGTCAGCGCTAAGCTCCGCCCTACCCCTCCGGCGCTCCTTGCCCGGCGACCGGTCACTCGCGTCTCTCGCTCCATTCAGGCTTGATGGTGGGCGGTAGCTGGTAGCGGTAGCGGGCGCTGGTAGATGGCATTTAGAGCAGATGGCGCTGGTGGCGGGGCTCGAGTGTGGCTGAGCGCAAGCCTCTGCCCGGGCCTGAATTGACCTTAACATTACGAGTGAATGAGAAGTACCTTCCACAATCGTTTGGCGTCAAAATACCTTAGTAATAAAAGTTTCGGCAGGTTCTGAAACATGCATTGCCAGAATATTGTCAACGAAAGTTGACGCATTTAAAAATTATCGCAAAAAAGTGGGGTCTCAAGGGGTTTGACGTTCATAGTAGTTCGCTCCCTTCCCCCCCCCCAAAGCCGCACCCCTTCAGGGGTGCGCGGTTGACCTGGGTCGGGACGGCGCCTGGGAAGAACAGCTCGGTTCGCTCATTAGCGCAGATTCCGTAGAGAAACTGCTGTCGTTTGTGACATCCCTTGCGGCCGCGCGGCGGTTGCAGGGAGGTCGGGATACCACGCGGCAAGCCTGAAACGAATGACCTTACATGAATGACCTTATGTACATATATCACTGGTTGGCGACGTCAAATCATATGAAAGACATCATATTGCAATGGATGACATTACATGGTAGAGCCAGTAACCTTGCATCACTTAACGGTGTGTATTTGTTATGATAGGTGAAGTCGTGTTAACGATGCAGCAGTTATATCATTTCGCTAGTAGTGACGGGCTCAAGCCGGTGCACCGGGTTGAGCGTCGTCGTTGCTAAGTCATTCCAGTGGAATCTGAGTATTCTGGTGCGATAGCTCATCCATATGCTCATGAGTTTGAGCACCAAACTCCTTCATGACAACTTCCCTGGTGGAGGCTGCGGACGGTCACCTCACCACACCAGACGTACACCCCTGATGGGTGTGCTCCTATTGGAGCTACCATTCTTGGTCGTCTGGTGGCGTGACCCTCAGCCCAGCTGGAGCGTGATCAAATATGAGGGTGGGCTAATCATGAGGACAGAGAGGACGGATATCGTTCATCCTGGCCAATTCCTGGCTATGCAATGCTTACCTGCAGGTTTCCTCTCGCACTGTAGCTCAGGCTGGTCCGGGACCGCAGCAGCAGCACCAGACAGAACACGACGTAGAAGGTGATGACCAGAACGGCGTACACGGTGCCGTACCACGAGGCGGTGCTGTGCAGCGACTCCATTTCACGCAGGTAGCGAGCCTCACACATCCGCCCCAGCGCCATCTGCATGCACGCGTCCGAAACTGGCTCCGAGGGCGCCGCCGTGTCCGCGGTAGGTGGCGCTGTGGTAAAACTCATCGGCGACGGAAGACGGGTCGTGCTTGGAAGCTCCATGGTCTGCCGAGAGCCGTGATCTGAAATGAAATAAGAAAGAATGTTACTAACATTGCGAAACCATATGCGATTGCCAGGAGCATTCCCTTTTTATTTGATGATTGATAAGGAGTCAGGATATGAAAAAAAGTTTTCGGGACTTAAAAAATGGCACGATATTGAAAACGGTGACAACTGACAACACGTAAGCATTTTCAAGTTTAAAACAAACATGACCGGGGAGCTTCATGGTGTTAATTTTTAGGCGCGACTGAAAAAAAACGGTGTGAGTGCGTATCTTTATTGTATTCCCGCCATTGATCCCATTTGAGACGCCGTTTTATGTACATATGTACTTGGTGCATGGTGATGGGATAACACAAGAACGACACAAAGAGCCAAGGGGGTTGGTATATAAAAGAAGGGGACTCCGGAGTCTTTCCAGTGTCTGTCGAAAAGTTGACACGAAGATCGTATAGACCAACAAGAACCTAGAAACCTCTAAGGGATAAAAAGGATGTCATAGAGAGGCATCTGACTCATCTTTATTTGGACCAAAGAAGGTATGTTTACGTGTAGTGTTTATCCTACAGCCAAACACTAAAAGGTCAGAAGATGTTTGCAAAACATTGCCAAACACGCGGAGAATGAGTGGCAGCTATCAAACACTATTCGGAATTCGGGATGTGTCTAAATGTAACAGATAAATGAGGTTCCAGATTTAAGTCCATACGGTTTGTGATATATCTGCCAAATGAGCATGCAGAACAAAGACGGATCTCTGCATCTAATCGGTGCCGTGAATGATCGCAAAAGTCGGGAGAGCATTATCTGACCCTTTCAAGCGTCGCAAAGTTACAAGGACACGCCTAAGTTGCCTAAAAGTGGCTGTGTTAGCCATTGGTTAGGCGCCCATTGTGCGCGTAATTGTTCGGTGCCTACATAGAGCGCGCTAAAAGGTTGAAGTGTTTCAAGTCGTTAGGAGAAGTAAAGTAATCTTCAGTCGTCAGCGCGTGATTCGGCACCCGACAGGTGACCAATGATCAGCTGACTGCGTTTCATGATTCATCGCGCATTTGGCACTGAACTGCATTCGGCGCGCAGCTCATACACTCTATAGAGTGTATGAGCAAAAAAAAAACACGCGCTGAATTTAACCTTATATGTTAAATTCAGCGCGTACTCAAACAGAGGACGACAGCCTAAACTTTTAACGCCTAAGATATCTGCCAACAGTCGGAATTCTCACCCCCGCTCATCGATTCGTACTGACGGTCGAGTTAAAAACAATTGCGGCCACTCCTTCCGTGCTCAGCGACTTTTGCTGCCGGTTAGCAGCTATCCGACGCGCCCTCGCTAAACTACCGGCCAAGTTCTGCTCTCCCCTGGTACAAAAAAACTTACCATTACTTCTAGATCCGCACGTATGCCCGAGCGTAAAATACACCGAGCCGCGCGGGCTGTGCTATGCGGCACAGCATCTTTTAGGCGCTTGCTTTATGAGACATCTAGCGGCAGACGCTGAAACTAGTGTCGTGCGGTACAGCATGCGGCAGGCGCTAGCTTTGAAGAACTGTGTCAGGTGTGCCCAGTGCCTGTGTCTGTGTGGGCCATGCGTGTCTAATACATGTAGGTATTTGTGCTATGTGTGCATCTGTGTCTATATTTGTGTATCTATAAGACACAGCTATTTATTATTCAATTACTGTACACTGCACTGTAAAGAAAAGATGGCTGCATCAAACGTTGACTTAACCACTACTCTGCTGCCACACTGCGCCCTTGTCTGCCTGCGAGCCGATGTCTGTCTTTGCTTGAAAGAAATGTGCTTGTGTCTGTGTTGCTGTGCCTGTGTCTGTGCCTCTAAATGCCTGTGTGTACGCCTGCGAATGAGCCTGTGTCGTGTGCCTAATAGGCACACGGCACACGACATAGGCACTGCCTATGTCTGCGCCTGTGTCTGGCAGTCACCGGGCCTTCTATGCGCTTGTAGGTACTTACTGTGTCTGTGTCTGCCGGTCACTGTGCCTGCTTCTCTATGTGTCTATCCCTGGTCTGTGTGCGTATGTGTCTGTGTATGTGTCTATCCCCCGTGTCTGTGTCTTTTTGTGTCCGTGTGTGTCTTAGTCTATGTGTGTCTGTATCTATTTCACGTGTCTGTGTCTGTACGTGTCTGTGTCTGTGTCTCTGTGTGTCTGTGTGTGTCTGTGTCTGTGTGTGTCTGTGTCTACCCCCGTGTCTGTGTGTCTGTGTGTGTCTGTCCGGCCCGCCATCCGATCGGTAAACAGAGACCGTGTGCTATCCGCCCGCTCCGGGGCTGGCCGCCATCTGTCGAGCCAACAATGACGCTGCCAGCTCCCGGCACAGGCCAGAACCACTTAGACACAACGAGCTTCTATGACTGTGACGCACGAGAGAGAGAGAGAGAGAGAGAGAGAGAGAGAGAGAGAGAGAGAGAGAGAGAGAGAGAGAGAGAGAGAGAGAGAGAGAGAGAGAGCGACCTCTTGATCTTCAAGCTGAAGAGATCATCAGGCGTATCGGAGCTCCCAGCCAGCCGACTTATTTTTCCGGTGAGAAGTGGGAATGAGTAGGTGTGTCGTTCTTCTGACCTGACAATCTTCTCTCTGATTGACTGCTGCCGGGTAGCGAGGTGGGAGTGTGTAGGGGGAGGGGTCGAGGATGTGAGGGGTGGATGACTCGCGACACACCGTCACTCTGGACCGAGTGACCCCCCCCCCCACCCCAGCCCACCACCCCCACCCACCGTGCTGTTCGCTGATCCGTTCAAACATCACTAATGAAAGGTCAGCGGTGGACTCTGGCCAGACAGGTATCGGGCTGACGCCACCAGCATGGCAGTGCAGACCACACAGATGTGAGGGTAACGTGAGATAACGGTCACTGGAACTGGCGGTGGTCCAGGCAGGTCAGTTTTCATTCAGGTTATTTTCTTTCAAAGAGTGCCGGCTCATGAAAGACAGGTTCTTTGTGAAGGCAAAAGTCACAAACAAACTCATTATCGCTATCAAGCGAAAATGCGAAAACAGTCAACAACTCGATGCATATTGCATAATGCATCTTCTCTCATCACTTTGTCCCTATTTCCTCAGGCCTCACCCATGAGAGAATCGGCCTGGGGCGTAAGGAAATGAGCGCATATTGTTCCATTCTGTTGTTTGCGCCATCCTGCGGCGCATGTTATTCAGATAATGGTGGTCTGCGTTTGCTCTCTGAGTGACGACAGACACAAGACGATCGATGAGGGACGACCAGCGCGAGACCAGCTGGGCCATTGGGAGCTCAGCGAAACGCTCCGCCAAAACGGAGGCGCCATCAGTCGAACACATGCACTAGTGCTACCAACAAAAACAGTCTTTGAAATACATCACCCGAAACTGAACTGGGTCGTCGAGAGAAGATTTTACAAAGAGGATGGCACGACCGTTGAGCCTTTCTGTCTATTTTTACAGTCCACGACTTCCAAAGCAACTAGATACGGCCAATAAATATATGGGAGACATGTGATGTTTATAGCATTCCACGCCACTCGGCAGACAATTCGTCACGGTCTCGGTCCGGCTGCAGTGTGCCAACAACTGCCGTGAGCCACGCTCCGTAAGCTATGTCTGAAGATAAAGGCTTCAATCTGCTGGTAGCCCGAGGTTCACAGCTTTCAAAAGCAAACTCGATATGTGAATGAAGTAATCGAGGCTTGGGATGAAAGTTCTTGATAACAGTGTACTCATTGATTCTTACAAATACGTCGGCAAATACCCGCAAATTTTCCTAACTCTTTTTCCTAGGTTATCATAATGCCCTTACTAACAAGTGCTCTCATACCGTAATATCCATATATGTACTGGCTTGTTGTCAAGGCTTGAACATTAAAAGAGAACAGTACCGTTATAAATAAGCTTATGGGTAACCGGGTGTACGATATGGCGCAACAGCTGCTCAGCGCTTCCGGAGACGCGCCTCTTATTACATCTAAGTCATGAGACTTTCCACCGTTTCGGTGGTTATTATTCGTAAACGGGAGGCACAAAGGGATAGCTAAACAATTAAACATACATATAAAACTAAATAGCATGGTACTTCTGTTTTTTTTTTTTTAATGAACAGACGAGATCTACTAAGAGCGTCAGAGTTGCTAACTTGGATGACAGGGTCTCTTGATACTTGTACCTGTCTTCTGCGCCTAATGCACTTCACACATTTGCCATCCTATTAGACGCCAGCCGGCGCGACAATTATCTGGCTAAAGGCAGCAAGCCGGCTTTTATTGGCTCCGGGCTCCCCAACCTCATTGTCTGTCACTGCTTACGTAAATTAAGAACACCAAAGCCGAGTCAAACTAAAATTTTGCAAGGTGTCCGAGATGTGAATTCATGGTTCTGTAAGTTGACGTTTGTTGCTTGTTGCTGTTCTTGTTGTTGCTTTTGTTACTTGATGACGTTGTTTTCCCGCCTTCCAGCAAATGGCTGTTTTGTTATTGACATTGTGTCGTTCAATTTGGCATTGGGATCAGCGTCCTAATGCTTGCAAGTCGCAAGTGAATGGAACAAATGGCTAATTATCATCCGAACATTCTCACTATAATAGGTATACTGAAAGCTGAGGATTATCAATAGACAGATGTAATTTCATGCGTTTTTTCCCCTTTTAACCCTATTAGTGGCAGGGGGGTTGTTTTTATCCACCCCTCAGGTTTTTCGGGAATATCTCCGAAACCGCTGAAGCTACGATGCTGAAATTTTCTGACTTTTCCTAAAACTAAATTGGGCACATTCCCTGAAAATTTCAAGTTCATAACTTTACCAGGGGCGGCTCCAGAGCACTGGGAATTGGGGGGTCCTATTCGTGAAGCGAGTCATTTGGGCGAAGATCACGATGCTGCACCGGTTTTACGAACAGTGAATGAAAGGTATTATGTGATAACATATACAAAGTTATTGTGCATCCTCTTTTGACACATTTTTGCTGTAATAGGCGGATCCAGGCGTCCAAAAAGAGGGGTTACTTTTTACC